ACCTTAGTGAATATACCTGGAGTCGGGTGCCTAAGAGTTTGTGCTTTTTACGGGACATCTGGCTAGGATCCTCATATGTAAATTGAAAAAAAAGCGGAAAATCAATACTTGATGGATTCCTGTTAGGAATCTAAAGTGGTAAAATTTTACTTGGAGGAAAGTTCAGGTTCCTATTAGGTGCCTAAATACTTTTCTCAAGTGTCAAAAACGCACGTCACACAGTTATGCAGTTCGAAAAAATGTAACAACCACAGGATGGATAGTTTCCCTTTGCTGCAAACTCAAAACTCGTGAAATAGTTTTATATTGCGGCGAATACCTCTATATGCTTCTCTATACATTGCGATACTTCTACTTTTGAAGACTTTTTTATAGGTTTATTATAATATCATTCGATTCTGCTAGTTATCTTTCAGTACATGTTCGTTAGCTTATGGAACTACTGTATGCTTTATACATTTTCATACATCTCATACATTTTCATACAGTTTCATACATCTCCATACATCTTCATACATCTCCATATATCCCCGTACATCTCCATACATCTCATACATTTTCATACATTTTCATACATCTCATACATCTCGTACATGTCCGTTCATGTCCATACATCTCATACATCTCGTACATCTCCGTACGTCTCCCCGTAATAGCCGTTCATCTGTGCTAAACTTTACTTGCACTTGATATCTGTAGATAGCGCTATGTATAAGAAAGTTTAATATTGAAGAGTGCATAAGCGTGAGGTTAAGGAGTACTTTTTATTGGTTGAGGCATTTGACTAAACTTGATGCTGCTCTTTGTTCCGTGGTTTTTCAGCGCAGTTTGCCCGTGTTCTGAACTCAGATCAGTTTTAGAAAGCACGAGTTTGCTCTACAAAATTAAGCCATCAATGAGAACTACAGTTTTTATGCTGTTATCATTTACATTCTTACTGCACTTGTACATTGATCGATGCTTATTTTAGTGTCCGCTGAGGTTAATACCAAGGCACTTAGATTTGAACAGAGACTAGACAGCGTTTATCAGTTTCAAAGAGCAGTTTCTCTAGACGGAGATCAAAAACTTTAGGTTCTTCACATTTGTTTAGACGAAACGTATTGAGATCCGTTTTTTGCAGTGTGAACATGACCTTAATGATCCGGATACACTTAGACTAAAAGTGACTGTTAGGCTTGAGCTGCACTCTAGCGTCAATTTTAGTTTAGCTTAGTTCTGTCGTTGTACGGCTTCGGTCTAATAAGATAGAGAATAGCAACACAGTAGCTGGCATAAAAGTTAAGTACATTCCCAAGGCGAGTCCAATGGAAATGAGCGCGTTCAACACATTCTACCAACATGCGCAGAAAGATGATCAGAGTCTTTGGAATCTAAGGATACTTCAGCGCGCGTTGATTGATCCAAACTTTATTCCGAAAATAACGAACAAACACAAACTCAGAAAACAGTTGATGCAGAAAATCTCATTAGAATTAGGGATTCCAAGGAGGCTATAGAAGTGAACGTTAAAGTCTTAGTGCAGTTTTGAAATATTCTACCCCCGGTACTGGATAGAGAGTTGAAATTTAAACACTTAATCGAGTGTACAGTGAACACTTTTAGCAAGTTTTGTCGGTATAGAACCAACTAAGCCTTCTTTTATGTCTTATTCTAAATTGCTTGTTTACTGCTTTTTGTGTTCTGAAAAGTAGCAGAGTTTTATTCTACAATTCCTCTCTTCTGGGCTCGATGTGGCCGATTTCAATGTGTAAAGATCGATCTTGTTTTCCTTTTGAGAGTACTTGTGTACAATAAAGTGGAAATGGCAAAGTAGGATGAGATGGGAAAAAGATGGTTGAGTAATTCAAAACAAGCTGCGAAATTAAAATTTGATTTATCATTTATTTTATCTGATACTGAAATGGCAGTATTACGTCGATATGCACAACAAGGCGGATCAATATCTACAATATTTTTTAGTGTATTGCCAGTGTTAGCACATTTTGGACGTAATAGTTTTTATGAATCGATGTTTCATTCAACTAAACCGTTTAATTTGTTTTCTGTTGTTGTGGGTCCTTCCGGTATGAGTAATGACATCTTTTGTTTTTTCTTAAAAATGTTATTGGGAAAAGTGTACTGTTTCGTTGTTGTTCTTTTCAGGAGCATCAAAATCACCCAATATCAAATTTGTTAAAGATGCTGCTGTTCTTGTATCAAAATTATTTTCAGATGAATATATACGTGATGTTAAAGTGGGAGAAAAATCAACAGCTGAACGTAATTCAGTAACCAGTAGTCCAAACCATTCGATATTTATAAATTGTTTTACGCACTTAGATGTCGAGCGAAAAAAAATTATGGCTATTTGTCAAAAGATATTAGAAACGAAATCGCCATTAATGACTGATACTGATATAACAAAGATAACATCACATTATGATATACAAAATCGTACAGCAGCAAAAAACAAATTGATTGAGCAACAATTAATTAAAAAAGATTTGTATTTGGCAACTGCAAATAAAACTGGGAATTCAATCAAAACATGTCCTGGTTATGTTAAATGTTTTCCCTTATGCAATTCGATTACCGAAAAAGAACAATTCAGTCAACATTTGGCTGAGTATGGTATTAAGTTACAAGATTATTTAAAATTATGTGAAGATAATAAACAAATTCGAACAGATACTAATTATGGTTTATCTGAATTAGCAGAAACATTGTTTAAAAGTGAACGTTATCGTGAATATGTATTATTTGATGAAAACACAGTAATAAGACCAGAAGTAATATCAATGTCATGTAATTTATCTGATACCAGTAAGTATAAAAGTTTTGTCAGATGTTTTAAAATTGTAAACACTTCTGTGTCGTGTATGTTTAGCCGTAGATATATTGTCAACAAATCAAGCAAATCATCGGAAGCGAAAACTATTAGATGATAAAACGACTGTATCTTCAAGTTCAGAACCGCCAAAAAAAATAAGACAATCAAGAAGAACAAGAAAATAGAACTCATTTGCCATTCACAAATTTACTCTCTTTTTGTCTGTACTTTCGTATTCCTCTACTACATTATTTTTATTATTATATTGAATTTAAATGAAATCGGCACGAGAGACATGTTTAAATTCATTTAGTCAAGATTTTTAGCAACATTTTTTTCTCTTATTATCTATATCTTTTCTTTCTCATATCCAACTTCGCTTTATTCGTGATTATTTATTTATATATTTTATTTACTACCGCTAATTTTATGTGTGTCTCTGTCGTTACTCAAATGTTGGTTTTGATTACTGCACAGTTTTGCCTCTTCACGTGAAGATGCACGCTTTTTGTTTC